TCCCCCTATTTTTAGATAGATGGACAATTAAACCCTCTTAGGAGCTTGGAGCAAAAATAAAAAACCATCAGCTTCAAGGAGCTTCATCCTTGCCCTATATGGTTAAAACCTGTAGATCACTGAATCCATCTAAAACAAGCTATATTGAGACACTGAAATGTTATACAAATTTAAGATAGCAGCTGACCTCTGCCGGCAAAGATAACTTTGTCCTTCAAGCATAAAGCTCTCAGTTAACGAAGCCTGTAACATTGCACAGTACAACAAGCTGCACTGCTGTTCCCACCAGTTGCCGTGTTACCAGTTCAAAGAGCAGCCACCTTCAGAGGGAGCTTTTTGAAAAGGCCACCTGAGATGTCAATGCCCCATGATGTGTTTTTCATTTTCTCAGCTCATTCACCACAAAATATTTTTTTTTACCAATCTTTATATATATATATTTATCATGCAACATGTTTGTGTTTCTATTCTCTTTGTTGTGTCAGACTTTCTGACAATCTGTGTCACCCATTAAACTGTATAATATGTTTTCTGTTTGGGGAGTCACAATAAGGTGAAAACTATTAGCATACAACAAATAGAAGAACAAAGTCCAAAGAGGAGACAGAGACAAAGAAGAGCAAAAAGTGATTGCTCTTGCGGCTTCTATCCACAATCAACCACTGCTGGGGATATTGGTTACATCCACCTTATTGATCTATGCATTTAACACCTCCACACATCCCTGCACACAGACACATCCGTGTTGGGATAGTACAATTTGATCTCTAAGCCACACAAACATGTCTCTTTACAATTTTGCTTTTACAATTTATTGTTAACATTTATGGTCCCCTAAAAGTCACTACTGGAATTGTCAAATAATATATGGTTCTTTCCACAATCATATATTGATTGTTTATTTTTCAAACAAATCCAAAACATGGGCATCTACTTAAGTGCATGCAAAAGCACTTAAAGCCCTGTGGTGTATGCTGGGCGAATTGGGGGGCATGCGCCACTGTTCCAGAATGAAATCAAAAGATTTGATAAAACCACTGGGCATAAGCAACAACTAAAGTGAGGTAAACAAAGTAACATAGTGGTAGAGGCGTATGAAGGTTACAGAAATACATATAGTTACACACAGGAACACGGAACATAGGTTTTCAGAATACTTCCACTCTGGGACCAGGTTATATCCTTTAGGTCTCTCCATGTACTGGATCCTTGTTGTTGCCCTGCCTTGATGACCAACTGCCTTTGAAGAGACTCACCACCCCGTGAACAAGGACTTTATTTGATCAGCACTAAAACGAGGGCTGTAGAAATACAAAAGCTTGGCTCTTTCCCTTGCAGTGGCTTACCCGAAGAATCACTGGTGATGAGGATTGACATGGCAAGTTCTTCAGGGGAATAGCAGTTGTTGACCCTCTTAAGTTGAAAAGGTAAAAGGGTTATTTGAGGGTATTTTGCCTTTGAGGCAGAGAACTGGATTTAGACCTGGATAAACCCTGATGCAATCTGTACTGCAGTGGGGTGTCCAGAAAGCAGATCAGCACTATAAACACAGCAAAAGTTAACATGCACCTGTCTGATATTGGAAAATAAATTCAAACTGACCAGTGTCCCCTTAAGCGACTAAAAAGGCAGTCTGGCACATGTATGCAACTGTATTCTATATATGTTGGGCCTAAACACCAACAAGCAACATTGAAATAAAAGTTAACTATGTACTTAAATAGTAACATCTTCAATGTCCAAAATGAGAGCCAACTGATTCATGGTCAGGTTAATCATCCAGTGGCAAAAGGGTCCTTTTGTTCTTTGATAAATTGGCAAAAATATCACCAAAAGGAAAATTGTATGCAAATATGCAGGTAAAAAAATAACCCTACACCTCTGTCCCCCCAAACACCAGACATCATTTAGATGTCGGTTTTTAGGCTAAGTCTGGTCAGTCCATCATAGCTGATGATTTAGTTTGGAAATTTAGTCTGGAAATCATTGTTGATTTTGGGCTGTGGTTGATCTGTCTGATTTTGTCCCACTTTAGTCCTATAATAGACATTGAAAAGATGTTTCAAACACAGTTTTCAACATTTTTCAGCGATCTAAAAAATTACAGCTGTTCACCTTTTACTTTTCAACCAAATGAAAATGTCACTTGGACGTAAATAATTTAATCTTTTCAACCAGTTTTTGCTCGGGGGGCCACAACATATTAATTTAATTTAGAGTATATGAGGGCAATTAGCAGCTGATGTCACATCAATATACTTTACATATTAAACAGGTTGAATCTATATACAGAACTGTATTTGATCTTATTAAAACACTCAGTCCAAGTTCATTGTCATTTTAATATATTTCTTTACTATATTTTAAACTGTTATTTAACATAAATGGTAAATGGGCTGAAATTATATGGCTCTTATCTCGTCAAACTTTCCAGTCAAAGCAGTTAATATAATTGCTGCATTCAACTAATCACAATTAATAATTCAAACCCATGCATGTAACGAAACACAGATTAGATTCTATATGCAAAAATATTTTATAGATACCAAATTACTTCCTTATCTAAAAGAAATGTACATGCTTTATAAAGATGATAAGTGCCATTTAAAGCCAAAATTAAGTCAAGGTTGTTGTAATTGCTTTGTGCTTCTCTTTCAAATGTTCAAGTTTTGACTGGAAAATGGATTTACACCTCTATCTCTAAAGGGGAGTATAAGTATAATCATCACACCTGATCCTAAACTATTTGGTCAGTTGTAAATTAATGGTGCGAGTCTGTAATGTGAGTAAGTTCTGGGTTATTCACGTGACTCTCTGCTGCAGCTAAATTCATATTGATCAATATGTCATTGAGATGTATAGACCTCTCATGCATTAGACATGCAGATGTCAGGATCCACCCTGACCGCCTCTTTCCCCTCTGCCTTCCTGATTTGTTGAACCCTCCTCATGTATTAATGACACATTGATAGAGAGCTCTCCCATTACACCTACACCCACCTTTAACCTTGATGCTGAGCTGTGTTTGTGTGTCTGCCCTCAGTCATAGCTCTTCTATTATTTACCACTCGTCTCTGTCTGGGAAGGGCTTGTGTGTGAGGCCAGCAATCGCCTCTAGGTAAACAACCACTGCCAATGACACGGCCGACCCTCATCCCTCCTTTTGACCACATCTCATTTCAGATCGATATATTTTAAGTGAAGCCACATCCGTCGAAAACAAACTTTGCTTACGCTGTTGGTGTGTGTTTGTTTAATTTTAAGGAGAGGTTGCAGGTGTCATTTTCAGGGTTAGTCCTCTTGCCCTAAAGCTTGTCTTAAAGTGAAAGAGAGCCTATGAACCTGCCTCTACCGCCTCAGCTTCCCTGATCGTCTATTTGAAGAAAATCATTTAAAAGCATTGTGAACCCAGATTAGAAGATCCACATATGCCTCAATCTGTATATAAGCAGACCTAAATTTTCATCTATATTAGGGACTCTATAGGTAAACCCTGAATGTGTTGCAGTCCACAATTATTTAAAGTCAAAATAACTGACCTAATACATGGAATACAATGGAGATACACATAAAAAATATAGAAATGTCAAGGAGTGTAGTCTAACAGTTATTAAAAACAGAAAGAGTCTAACCTTTCCAGGAGTTTAAATATCTAAACCAAGTAAAATTGAAAGACATTAAAACAATCATCTAACCAAAACTACTGAGCTTCTCTATGGTTTGTTTCTGTTATACTGTAATATTTAAAAAAGCTTTTCTTCAAACCTTTTATATTCTAAATTTTTACAATTAAAGAGCGTTAACTATTTTCTACTTGAAACTTCTTTTAGATATTCAATTTATGAAGACCGACCAGAAACAAGCAAGTGGTTAAGCTAGCAAAGAATTTAGCAGCTTTTCTCGGCTTATTTTATGTGTCTGGGGCAGCAAAATAAAACAAAATATATTTCATTGTTTCGGTTATGTTATGTTTTACTTTGCTCCTTGTTTTCTAGTTTTTATTGGTTTAATTACTATTTTGTTGTAATTTCTAGATTTATGTTAGTTCTCATGTTGTCCTCTGTTGCCCTCTTGTGAGTGTGTGTTCCTTTCCCCTTGGCTCCCTCGTTGTCTCCTCACACCTGCTCCTTGTCAGCTCGTTAGCCCTCCCTTTGTCAGCTATTTATGCTCTCCCTCTGCTCTCACTCTTTGTTGGTTCCTCTGTTGTTGCTGGTCCTGTCTTCGCTGTAGTCATCTCCCCTCGTCTCTCCCTGGCTCCTTGTACTAGTGATGGGTTGATGAGGCATCATGAAACGTTTCGACACATTACCAAACTGTATTGATACTGTGTCGATACTGTGTCACTGAATACTGACACCTGCTGGACATTAAAAATCCCTACAGGCAACCTAGTTGACAGAGTTAACTGACACTGATTTGATGACCTATTATATACACTAATATGATGCAATTCATTGTATGATGCATTGTATTATTATTAAAACATATTTGATATTTTAGACACAGTCAATGAATGAGAACCTGCATCATAGTGTAATAATCTCTAAGTAAACATGTAGTAAATGAAGATGCTTGTTCACTGGTATTTTTTTTTTTACAATTTTTTATTCAAAAAAATAAGTTGTTGAAACGTTTTGAAATTCAGTCTGTTGCGCTTTTTTGATATTAGTTCTCCAGCTGTGGAAAACACCCGCTCACACGGCACAGATGAAGCTGGAGTGCACAAAAATTTTAAGGCCAGGCGGAAGAGGTTTGGATAAACCGTCCTTTGTTTTTTCCAATATACAAGAGGATCCTGGGACCTCGCAATATTGCCCTCTGCCATGTATCTCTGCACCTCAAGGATGGCATCAGCTGTGGCACTTTTGGTCTGCCTCCCCACTTCGAGATCAAAATGTTGCCAAAGGTCATCTTAAAAAAAAATAATAATAATTTAAAAAAAGTATTTTAGTACATGATTTACAAACAACAAAGGAATGATGCTCAATATCATGCCTGAATTGGGGGCAGACAGCTGTTGTGAAGATGTTCCCGGCTGGGGCTCATTTGAGCTTCCAACTATTGAGGCACATTCTGTCCGCAGCCTGCTGTACTTCCATTTTCGCTCGTTCCCGTTCCTCCACATACTTTTTGGCCAACAGTTGTTTGATGGTCTGAAAACCACACCAAGCAAACCAGAAGAAAATCAATATATTTAAAATAAATTTGATGAATAAACTACCACTTTAGATAATTTCCACACAAACCTTTCTGGTTGGCAAAACATATGAGGGCTCAAGGAGCTGAACCAGCTCCCTGAAGCCTTCATTCTCCACAACAGCGAGGGGCTGGCAGTCCTTTACAATGAAATTAAGCACAGCCTCATCAAGCATCTGCTTCCTGGAAGCTTGATGGTTAAAAATGAAAAAGTGTAAATTATTCAGAATTATCAATAAAACAAAGTCAGTAAGTTGTAAAATACCTGTATAGCCTACCTGAGTTCATCATGGGTGTATCATGGATTTCACTCTCATGCTTGGCCCTATAATGCCTCAGCATTGAGGAGGTGCTGTTATTTTAATATGCAAGCTCTGTTGAGCAATTGCGACATTTAACCTGTAGAAAATAACACGAACAGTAAACTAAAGGTCACTTTGAAATGAATTTCTACTCAGAAAATCAAGTGGAAACTCTGAAAGGAACAGGATGAAACAAGGAAATTAAAACAAATACCTTATTTTCCGAAATGACATCAAAGTGGTCCCACACGGCAGAAACCTTTCTTTTTGCTTGAGGAAGCTCCATAATTTTTGATGAATTTTATATTCGCAAAACACGCAAGATTGTTTTGGCAGATGCGCTGCCTTATAAAGGCTTATCAATCAGTTCGAAACATCGGTCACGTGACCGATACAGGAACTGTTTCGGTCACGTGACTTTTCCGTAGCGATACACACGTCGACACAGGTTTCGCTCTATGAGACCGACACATGCGCCGACGCATCGGTGTTGCCCGACCCATCAATACCTTGTACGTGTTTTCCCTTGATGTCTCCATGGTTCTGGTCTGTTACATTTTTAGTTGGATTTTTTGGACTGCCTTTGTTTACCATTTTCATTAAAACTACAAGTATTCACCTCAGCCTCTCTGCCTCTGCATTTGGGTCCTCCAAACCACAACCAAAACCAGAGATGGGAAGTAATGAAGTGCAAATACTTCGTTACTGTACTCAAGTAGATTTTTCTGATATTTTTACTTTACTTTACTACTTATTTTTATGGCAACTTTTCACTTCTACTCCTTACATTTTTACACAAATATCTGTACTTTCTACTCCTTACATTTAAAAAAAATTGGCTCGTTACTTTAGTTTTGAATCATTTCAATGGAGTTACTGTTATTATTTTTCACGTCATCAATACCAAATTCAATCTAATTGGATGGGAATCTACGTTGCATTTGACGCACCACTACAAGATGAATCGACAGATTCTGCGGTATTCATTCGCGGCAAATCCTTGCAGCTTTGGCTGTGGCATTAGCATAGTAGTATGGACAACGAGATGATTGTAAATGAACACAACGGAGATCTAGTCCTATTGGCAGACATCCATTTAAAATGTAGGCGACGGCATGAAAAAAGTGGTTTCTACTTTTACTTTTATACTTTAAGTAAATTTACAAGCCTGTACTTTGTTACTTTTACTTGAGTAAAGAAGTTTAACCAGTACTTCCACTTTTACCAGAGTATTTTTTAACACAAGTATCTGTATTTTTACTCAAGTACGGAAAGTGAGTACTTTTGCCATCTCTGACCAAAACGTGAAAATATATATATATATTCTGGAAATGAATGTTGGAGATTATTCATGGAAGCTTTCAATTTATTTTTATCAGAAGCTTAAGTTTTGTTTACAATGTTCTTTTATTTGTCTTAGCTTTGTTTTCATGTTTTTGTTTAATTAAATCGAAATATATTTTTTTTTTAACAAAATGAACATTTGTTTATTCAATTTAAGCCTTGACTGTTTTGGTCAATAAAATTTTCATTGTTCAGTCAATATCTGCTGTTTTTAAATGTGACTAATGCAAAAAGGGAAATCTTCCGCACACTAAAAGTGTCTTTTTAAAGCAACTTGATGGTGAAAGTCATCACTTTAGAAGTATTTGCCAGCAAGTCATCTTTCCACTTACTGCCCAATTTTTTTCTGTATTTCTTGAAAACATTGCTGATTATCATAATCAGTTATCTTTTTTGTCTTGAAATACATTTTAAGCATTTTTACATTAAAATATGTAAATATCTCAAACATAGGTTTTCCATATGACTTGGCTTAAACAAAAGAAGATTCTGCTTAGAATATCATCAGGATGAGGGCTGCATAATATAAACATATTAAATGCAAATATTAAAATATAAATACCATAAAAGCTAATGATAGCCTATCTGTCCATGTCAAATTTTGATGGGCTTTTGCACTTATTTATTTTTTAGACTAAATTTACTCCCTTAAGAATAAGGCTGCAGAGTGCAGCCTTATTCTGCTCCCTCTATCTGTACTGTGCAGGGCAAATTCACTGCCTGTGACACTAAGCACAATCTACATAATTTTTTTAATTATTGTAAAAAAGTATATTTTGCATTGTTTAGCAAACTGTTTTACCAAGCAGTGTTGATGATTAATGATAGATTGTTGATCAAAATGGAATACAGACGAAATAGTGTCGACAAAGGATACATTTGGAAATACTCTTAAGAGGTTTGTGTGTGACTTTAAAAAAAACTGCTTCAATAAAGCCCCATAGAGAATGTTTTGTGTGCTGCCACCAGCACAGACACGGACCAGTTGACCCCTTCTCTTATCCTGCTACGCTGTTTACTCTGTTGTAGGTTCCAGATTCGCTTGAATGTTCAGATCTGCTCGAGCCCTGCGCATGCTACTGACGTCCCGCTATATGATTGGCTGATACGTTGCCACAATGACATAAAGCATTGTGGTTGCCAAGGCAACGATAATAACATAGTAGAGCGTCCATGTGCTGAGTCAGTTGCATCTGTAGTGTAAGCATGTCTAATGACCGATTAAGTTTTACCTGACTGATAACAAAACTGAAAGAATTTGAACAGGGTTAACAAAATAACTCAAGACCATGATATAAGGGGAAGAGCTGTGGCTAGCTGTGCTCAGTAGCTAACAGGTTTGCCTCTTTTAGCTTGGCCGGTTGCTGGTATCAAGCTACACTTTTAACCTCTTGTCAACAACAACCATTAATTACAGTAACAGCTTTCACAACTATAACCTTTAGTATACGGTTTTGAGCATATGCTGTCCTTTTGACATTTGTTTACATCTGCCACTTTTTCTCGTTACCTTTGTTGTCTTTCATCCGTTTTAGACGGCACATTAAGAAAGGTTTTACTACCACAGTTAAAAAAAAAAGGCTCTTGGTATTCTTCCTCTTGGTTATCACTCTATAAAAGAAAGGTCAAAAGGCATCCCAAGAATTATTGTCATCTTATTCAACAATTTATTATTACCAAGCAAAGACTTGTTGTTGTTCTTGCATTATAAAAAAAAAAAAAAACTGAATGTGAAGGGAATCACTGCTATATGCCATGCTTCAAGCTAAACCTGTTGTCAATTAATACATTGATGAGGTTTGGTCCTGAATTTCTTTTTTTTTCCCCATGCAAGCAAAAAGTTGAAGCCCAAGGTCTTCTTATCAGCAGAAGGGAATCAGCACTCATCCTGTAGTTGAAATGTTTGTCTTTTTTGATTCGGATAATATCTAAAGTGGGAAATTAAGTATTAGATCATTGGCAGATTCTGTTTTCTTTATTTCACTAACAAGCATAACATAGACGTAACAGACCTAAACCTCACTATGTAATTTTCCGAGCTATATTTACTTCAGATTTTCATTTAATGTTAAGATGAACTTACTTTCTCATTTTCTCCAATTTTCACTGAAATTTGTAAGCTACATGTACATAGAGAAAAGAAATACAATATTAGACAAGTTTCATCTTTAGATGTGTTTAAAATCTCTACTGGTGACTGGTGCAACTGCAACAAAGCATTAACCCTTTAATTATTAGAAGATATAAAAACAGTTTACAAAATGTCATTGTGATCTACCAGTTAGCTCTGGGAAGAATGTTTTTGAATGTCTTAATTTTAGTGTTCAAGATTATTTTGTTTCTGTCAAGGTTACCGTATAAAAATCACAAACTGCTTCTTTTTTTTTTACCTTGGTGTCCTCCCCTGGCACCATTAAACATGGCCTTGGAACCCTTCCATATAGATTTAAAAATACACTATCCATGTTCGGCAATGAGGACTACAAAAGAAAGGATAAGAAAGATCAAAACACTCCTCATCCTGCAAAAAAACAGCAACAACAACAACAAAAAAAACAACATAAATACCTAAAAGATGGATTAAATCAATTTAACATATTTAGATTAATATTTACCTTCTAAAAAAATTTGCTCAAAGTAGAACAACTGTCATAAGAGAAATCTAAAGATTGCTGAGATGTTTTTCAATATATATATTTGTGGGAATGTCTCAAAATTAATTCTGTAGATATTACAGGTTTTACTATTTAACATATAGAAATGTTTTTCAGTTGCTTTTAAGATTGTGTTAAATAGGTTTCTTCTTTGTTATTTTGAGAGGAACAACATGTTTTAGGATGTAACCTTTTTGTTTTTACTCGTGTTTTCATGATGTAAAGCAATTGGAATTGTTCTGTCATTGAAATGTGCCATACAAAAAATATGCCTGTTAGATTATAAATCCATGCTTTCTCTAATAAATGGGTAATGGGCACACGGCAAGTCCATGGAGCTTGTGCACAGCATAAGATCCTGGGGGATTTATATTTTCTCAGACCTCTCCTGGATTGAGAACATCTACTACCTGATAAAGGCCCAACACTGCCCTTCTTTGAAGAAGTTGGGCCAGGACCCTTTTTTCACCTACTCTCAAATTTCTACAGGGATACAATAAACAGCATTCTTTCAATGCAGTTTTAAGAGCTGCACAGAAAATGGATATAAGGACTTAGGCCAGGTGCTGAGAACAACAAAGAGGATTGTGGGAAATCAACCGCCACATCTGGATTTGGTTTATGCTGCTCAAGTATGACACCAACTTGACTTTATCCATCTTATTATATAGCCAACTTAATTTCTATGATTTAACATTTAGTTTGGTTTGTCTTTTGGACTATACAAGTGACATAAATCACATATTTATATTTTTATTTCAGACAAAATATTTAAACTTTTCTGCCCCATTATGGATTTAGACATTATAACTGGGAGGAAATTTGATATTTAAAAAAAAAAAAACTTAGTTGATGCCCCTCATAATAACTTGGTGTTGAATTTATCTGCAAAGGCTGGCAGTTAACATTTAACACATTTCTAAGGTCTGGTCAGATATACAGTAGGCTAAATGAGTGACAGGAGCCACTCTTCAATGATGCTTGAGGCTTACGTTGCTGTTATTACAAAGTGATCATATCTCTTCATTACTGAACCATTGGTGGAGGTTTCGTGGACAGGGCAGGATGTCATAGGTGACTCTGATCAAGAAGCTGAGCCTTGGTTGGGGGATGTTCCAAAGATCAGACCATGACGTGGCCTGTCTGAGACACCTTTCCATTACTGCCAGCCCCCCGTCTGCTCTGTGACACAGTTTTGACATAAAGAAATGATGCTGTTCTGTCTTGACCACTTCTGCCATCACTATGACTCTCTGCTGTTCTTTATTTTGCAAAAACAGTAGAACGAAAAGTCATTTTAAAAGGCTCATCTTTCTTTACTCGAAAAAGAAAACTTGGCATGGTT